AATTATGGACTCAGACAAAATTGACGACAGACAGGAGAGTAAAATAGAGATTTGCTACTGAGGCACAATGTTCTACTCGGAACCCATGATGATAAGAGCAGCTTTATTCTGGACAAAATGTCTACACACTGTGCAGGATTCGAAGAGTAGCTCATCGCATAATATTTTATCGCCCTCCAAGATCTTCAAGTAAACTAGTAATCTAAAATATATTATGTAAAACGCAATTGTTATATCTGAAGCATAGTTAATCTCTTACACTAGTCGTGTTTTGCAAATGTTTCAAAAGATATACAACAGAACGTGAGTCTACTTGAAAATTCTGTATAAGTAGTAAGTAAAATACTCTGAAAATTTCGTATTCTGTATAGACATTTTGTTCAGAATAAATTATTATTATTTTTAATGTTTTTCAGCACTCAGTGTTTACTGTAATTCTCATACACTTGAATACCAAGTTGTTCAGACAAATGTTACAAAGAACTGACATTTGTCCCTCTTTCCTTAAGGCTTTGATTTTATTTTACTTTGATGTTCAGTTTAAGTGTCTTCAAGTTTTTCGATTGAACAAAGAACATGACTAACGCCTTAGGACAAAGTATGAATTAAGAAAATCATCTTTGAAGAAGGTGGAGAATCAAAGATCACTAATAAGATTCATTAATTTATTCTTAAAAAATGTGACTTTTTTAGTCACATCAGTTTCTGTTATTTAGACTGACAAAACACTCATTATTCATTTGATGTTTTTTGGACGATTCTTGCACTAAGATAAATTTACGTCTTATTTTCAACTTTTCTTGTTTCATTCGATTCGACCAGATTCGATGTTGTGCTTGTATTCTTGAGTGGTAATCATGCAAAGATTGTGAAGAATCCTAATAGATACTCCCTTTCCAGCTATCACATTTTATGTGTTCTATGTAGTTCAACAATGAAATCAAGAATAACATGTTTGATTGTCATTTGTGTCATTACCATATAACTGAACTTCTTTCTCACTCTCTCTCTATTAATTTCGGAATGAGCGAAATATCCTTGTCCTGACTTTCAGTTTTCTCCTGATTTTCACACTGTATGACAAAACGTGAGTCAGTTGTACTTCAAGTGATATATATATCTGTGTTAGTAATACCTTCTAACAGTTGACTTGTGGATGACATGGAGGAGATCGTGTCAGTATGAGATGGAAGTTAGTGGACAATCGTAGAGCCAGGAAAAGAGAACTGATGAGAACAGGACAAAATGGGGATTTGATTGTGAATATAGATTATATATGTTCTACTAGGGACATTTTTGTATTCCCTTTCCTTCCCACTGGAACATAGGGTTTCAAGCTACAGCTGTAAAGTTTCGGTAGCAGTGGTGTTTACTTTTATGGGATGGGGTTGATAGCCTCATGTCCAACGTTCAACTTTGACCGGTCTGATTACTGGCTTAGAGAGGTAAAAGAGTGCATGAAGCGGGGATTGAACCCTGGGCCACACACGCAGTTGACGAGCGTTCTAGTGCTCTGTCACTCGTTATAAAAAGGAATGATATTAACAATAGCCTAATCAAGGAAAGCAGAATTAGGATTAGCACTCTGAGCAAAACAGTTGATTATAGGGAATAAAAGTCTGTTTATTTCACTTGTCATATCTGGCTACCGTCTTGAATACACCATTTGTGCAGAAGAATGCGATTAGTGGCACTACTAATGAACCACCAGCAGACAGATCGACCATTGAATACTGAAGCTTTGATGAGTGCAGACGTATCGTAAGCCCTTAGACTCTTAAAACGGAGAGAAGCAAGAAGACCAAATGAAATCCATCCAAAGACATTGAACTAGGATCGCGGATCTCTGCTTAAATGTCGACTTCACTTTTGTGCAAAGTGTGTGTGTGAAGTTACCTGTCGATGGGTAGACATATCAGCCTGTCAGACTCTGTCTGCAGCCTTTGCAAGATGAAGTAACAAACTGATGTCCAAAACAACCTAAATAGCAGAAGACATCATCCTACGAGGATTAAGAGTTGTCAGTGATGTAATACTTCACTAGGATCAGAATGGATTCAGTAGAAAACAGAATCAAGCACCGACCGAATCGCAGCATTACACAGCATCATCGAATAGAGCTCACAATAGCCTTCAACAGTGTCAACTGTGAATTAATTGATATTCGAGTGTCGGTTTGCAGGGATTTGATTGGTTTCATGATTTCATGATGAGGTGACATCGGTTAGAAAACCATTAGTAAGGCTTTGAGAACGGGACAGCTGTTCTGCCGTAGTTTGAGACTCTTTGACAGAACGCACCCACCGGGGTTCGAGCCTTGGGCCTCCCAGTTACACAGCGAATTCGCAAGCAATTAAGCCACAGGGAATTAATTGTTCTAGTGCTTCAACAGTACTGAGTGAAGCGCAACCAACACTGATAAACCTCAATAATAGCTTGAGTCAGAATATTATTCCCACAGTTCAGTAGTGCATTAGCAACAGAATACTATGGATATCTGAAAATTCTATTTCATGTCGTTTGATGTAAAAGAAAATCACAAGCACAGTAACTGGTTAACGAATATAAACCACATAAATAAATATATATATTTAAACAGCGGTTCGATCATTGAAAAATATATCTTGGCTTCCGTGTCTTGCCTTCTGGTGTTACAATGCTAGCTTGTTCACCTGCTGAACTGACTAACCTCAGTTCAAGAAGACGTCACAAACCTCTTATAGTGGTCAATTTTGATATAAACAAAAAATAATTTACTTAGATCTACCCAGGTTTGAGTCATTTCCAGTTTGATAAGTCACCCACCCGATTTTAAAACTGCACGTAAATATGTTAGTCAGGACTTGCATTTCACTTTGACTTATCTTTCATTTGGCTTTAGTTGCGCCAGAAATCAGTTGTATTTCAAATTACTGTGAGTACTACATGGGCTATTTAAGTGAAATATTATTCATCATTTTATGTTCTCGAAATGTTGAATTCTGAAAGATTATGTTTCATGTACATGAGCGTATACGACATACCCTTTTTGATACTCATGATGCTGTAATCACTGTTGATGTGACGCAGCTTTCTGAATCATAAAGGTGAAATACCTAAAAGAAGGTAAATGAACTAGAATGTGGAATGGAAATGCTCAAAAATCATACTCCATTGTAAAACTTCACATTGACTAAGACACATAACATCTTTATTTCAAATCTGCAATAATTCTTCACTATCCTTGGCCGCCTCTGATTACATTGAAACATATTGCACGAATAACTAGAGCAATTTAGTATTGGATTCCTGATGTTAACAAGTTATCATCCGGCTAACAGTTGGTGATTAGTCACTTCTGTGTAGTCTGTAGTGTCGACTGAATCGTAACGGGGCTACTTGTACATTGGTTTAGAGCTCAGTGTCGAATGCCTCCAACTATGCAATATCTAACCGAAGACCACAAAGTTTCTTCTAATGTTTGACACCTACCTTACGTCGGTTGTAAGCAAATCAGAATCGAATATGAATTATGGCTTTTATTAGGTTTTGAGAAAATAATGGAATACGATTTATCATGAAAGGACTACAAGTTGCCAGATTATCCGTCATTCGTATGTGCATTTATGCATCAATCCAGTCTATGGCTTCGGAACCCTTGCGATAGCTGTCAGTACCTCAATGAAGATGAACACTTCCGTTGAGATGATCAGCTGCATCCAGATAATAAACATGCCATTTATCAGTCCACAGAGAATGTGTTGATCATTTCGAAATGCGAATCGTCTATCACCGAGGATAGCTTGAACAATGAACGCCATCTCCTGAAAATGAAAGACAGTCATTGAAATATTAAAGTTAGGTGGGTGGTGTCAAAACGCATAAGAATGAACTTCGAAAATATAAACCAACTGACAAAGTTCTTAACGACATAATGAATGTCAACGGGTAGGTAAATTTGTGAAATCTAATTGTTGAGTAGATGTCAATTTTCCAGTTATTCATATACGTAAATCTTTAGATATAAATATTAAATTCCTCTACGTTCCCAGTGGAACATAGGGCTTCAAGCTGCATCTGTGAAGTTTTGGTAGCAGTGGTGTTTATTTTTACGGCATAAGGTTGCTAGCTTCATGCATAACCATTACTCTTTACCTGTCTCATTACTGGCTTAGTGAGTTAAACGAAAGCGTTGGCCGACGACCGAACTCCGGACCACATGCATGGTAGGCGAGCATTCTACCACTATGTTACCAACACATCACATATATATCAATGAACACGTTTCAGCGATGGAAAGCTAAGACGTGGTACTAACCGTATCCATAAGGCTGAATGATTGTGAGGGACTTATCAGGATTCAGCACTGAGTTTCAATGATAGCGTCTGCATGTGAGATAATTGTGACTTCGGAAAGTTGATTCTGCCAGGTGTCAAATATTTGAAGCTGAGTGTGCTTCTATTTTTGGCTACCTTTGCCACTTGATTACAAATCGCTGCAATAAACGTTTCTTTTCATTTGAACGATTAATTACGTCTGAAATAAAGAGTTCTTCTTCTACACACACATACACTCATTTTATTATGATTATCGGTGATACATCTGAAAGTTACAGATGATGAATGACACTGATTTCACTCAAACTTAACCAATTCTAAAGTTAAACGTGAGAGGGGATAATTAGTATTCCTGATGGAGACAATCAGCTGGACATGAGCGGAGCAATGCTGTATGATGCAATCACATTAAGTTGAGGCTTGATTCAGATCGACTGAAAAAGGAGCAGTGAGTTACACATAGTTCCTTCAGAGACATGCTGTAATTTCAGATTTTGACAGCAAAGTGCTTAATTTTGTCAAACAACACGTATCAATTGGTGTACTTGACTTGCCTCGTCAGTCATTCTGAGAGAGGGAGATACCTGCCTATATTACAATTCAATACAATAAAAAAACGATTTACACAGTGAGATAACCTAATGAATAAATCTATTGACATCGAGAGACAGTGTGTGATCCTTTCAACTTCCAATGTGAGTACTTTCACTCAGTGAGTGACAAATACATCCATCCACAATATGAATGATAAGAAAGCAAAGTGTATTTTCTGCATCCTGTGATGAGTGGCTATAAGAGACATAGCAGCAAGTTCCAAGACTGAACAACATCAAGTCAAACAACTGGATTACATTTATCTCTCAATGACAGTAACTGAACGAAGAATTCCGTGGTTGGATTAATCCAAAAATTCATTTTCTTCTATTGTGTATCACCTCGTTCAATACCATTTCACCTCTCAAAAACAGCACCAACTCGCTTTATCCTCTTAAATACTGAGCTGATTTACAACAATGCTCGAAACTTGAGCTTACCCATATAACTGTGCAGAACATGGCAATTCCACCCAGAATGATGGTCATCTGTCAAGAGAATGATGAAAGAAATCGCTGATTTAATTTGAACTGCAAATCTTTATGCTGTGATAATTATCCTAAACGATTAGTGATATGATTTAATTAAAAGTTGAGTTTGGTGTAGTGGCTATACTAACGCCTGAAAGCATTTTTCGAATAAACGGATCTCTCGATCTCATTCGCTGTGTTATTTTCACAGCTGTAATTCATATTTGAAACCGATAACACTTTCTAAGAGAACGAAGCTTGAGGATTACTAAATGCTTGAAATATCAGTTAGTTGTAACGAGTGACTTACTCGTAGCTGAGAATAAACGTGCGAAGCGTATCGCCTTTTTTAAGCACACTGCTAAAACGCACTTCAGCAGTTGTCAACTTCCTCTGGTGTGGACATAGCATGCCCCTACACATACTTTAGCTTTCATCGAAGTACAAATTACAACCCGAATAGTTTAGTAATAATGTACGCAATCAAGAAGCGTTCTGCTGTAGTCGAGTGAGACAATCAGCACAAATATGATTACTGCAATTTGAAACTTAGTTTATTCAAACGTGAATGGAATTCTTGCAGTGATTTGACTGATTTGAATACTCATCTGTCAGGCTTCCTGAGAAAGTTTAATTAGGTGGAGGGTATCCAAAGTGATTCAACGTTTTCCGTTGCACGTTTGGTGATTATTGAGTGAGTGAATACTCCGCGAAATAAACAATTGCCATTAAAGCTCAAAAGATACCTCAGCTAACAACAGTTACTTTTCAGTAGGAGTAACTTACATTTTATCTATTTACTTACATCATATTTTCGTAAATAGACCATCGGGAGGAATGCTATGCAAAACATTATTTCCACGACGAATGTTGCAAATATGAGCTTCCGAAAGGCCCTCAGCATATCGAATCTTTTGAGAATACTGAAGCCTACAATCATCCCTGTAATAACCAAGGTCGCTGCCCATGTGACAATTGTCCACCAGAATGCTTCGTTAATCAGTGGTAGAACTGAGGCAAACCCCATCAATATTGTCTAAAGAGAGAAAGAGAGTAAACTTAAACGACCGTAGTATATACGGTGGATTCTTGGAAATTGAATGTGGACTGCGAAGTGATATAATATAGTTGGGCACGGCCAACTGGAATAAACAAACCTTTGACTTCATGTCTCCGTCAAATAATACCAAGGCATTTCCACCTCCAAATATCTTTCATCATAGGCTGCAGCACAGCGATAGTGGGTGGTTCTCTAACCTGGTGATTGCACTGAATCAGAAATAATACAGACACGAAATGCATGGGCGAGAAATGTGTATGTGACTCAGGTAAACCAATCGTCAGTTACCAAGTGTTTTGAGATGTCAGCGAGAAGAGAGATTTCATGTGATAAATAGTGCTTGTAATTCATCGAAACATCTCCCTCACACATTGATCTCACTTCATAGTATATTGTTATACATTTATTGAGTGACCATCCTGCTTGGAACTGAAGACGTATATTTCCTCTTATCTCACAGCTCAGTGATGTGTGCCTGCTGAGGATTGGGCGTTCCACTGGAGATTTCATTCGCTTGATTGTTACTAACGTTTAGTGTTCCATTCATTTCTAAATAACATTTCCAGTTCGCCTCGATTTGTTTCATGTTAGAAATGAACTTTTCAAATATTAGTTCCTGTCTGGGCCCCAAAATCTTTAACAACCAGCCGACTTCTTTAGGGTGATATGTTTCATTATATGATTGAATGGACTTCGTTCATTCTTCAATGTGAAACATACAGCTTAATAGTTTCAACCTCATTTGGACTCAACCTTCACACTGAGGGGTGCCATGTAATAATCAGGCGGTGAATTTACAAAACAAGTTTATATGTAAACATCAAACATCATACAATAAAACCAGCAATAAAGGTTAATAGAGCGGGATTTAATGAATTCATCAAATTTCGGTAGAACTCGTCAGGTGAATACTCTACATACACGCATATATATACTTTTGATTACTTTTGGCTTACGGACATGATATCGACGCTGTCAAGTCATTCACTGTTATTGTCAGCAGACAAAGAAACAAGAAGATGCTTGCAATTGCAGAGGCTTGTGCAATTCGAGTTTATAAACCAGGTCTCTGTGTGCAAAAGGAGATGGTCGTCACTCTGAATCTACCGTGGTAATACTTTTTTACTTATTGTTCTATCTCTTATTATTATTATTCTTGATTCACTTGAAACTATCCTTTATCAGTAGGATTATCTTAACTCACTTCAACTCTATTAATATTATTATTTTTATTATAACCATTACTATTAATATTACTCTGTTTGCAATTCTTGTTATTTTCTCGAATGACTAATTGTTTATCTAAATGATGTAATTGAAGCGCAATGCAATTTATCATAATTTTGATCTCTCATATTCTCTCTCCATTTTATATATTTGAACATGACCTGGAAAACATTCACACCTGTCTTTCTGCATGACTAATTCAATGTAGTTTGTTTTCTTATCAGTCTTATATCTCCTAATGTTATTTCAAAAGTATATATGTCCGTGTATGTAGAGTATTCAGCAGCTGACGAGTTCTACCGAAATTTGATAAATTCATTGAATCCTGCTTTACTGACCTGCTTTATTGCTTGTTTTAAATTCGTATCGGGAAATAAATGTTTTACATCATACAATAAGTTGACTTGAAAATACAAATGGCCATTCACACTTCACTTACAGCAATAATCAAGATGATATAATTGAGTGGAAACACAAACTGCAGTTGAGGTATAAGGAGCATCTGCAGCTGGAGAAGCGTCCCTAAGAATCTGTATTGACACAAACGAAGGAGACGAAAGATACGAAAATTTAGTTTATGCAGTCTAAATTGTTTTTGGATTAAGGGTGTATTTCTGTGAGTTCACTAGGAAGATCTATATAAAAATATACACACACAGGAAAGATGCGTTAAGTCCATAGAGTTGTTGGGATATCAAAGAAAACGATATTCTACCGTCTGGCTTTGTAGCAGGGAAGTGCTCTGTTCGAACCTAGGTTGATGTACACCCCTGGACGGTCCTAAATTGAGACGACGCATCAGTCTAGTACTCTTTGAACTTTCAGTGTTTCTCTAACCAATGTCAGATTGTGATCAAACCTGCCAACAATTAAATCCATGACACAATTTTATATAGGCTGAGTGCCTTCCAGTTTGATATTAAACATTCAGCTATTCGTTGGCCCAGTGACGATCAAATCATGACACCATCCAGCTAACTGAAACTTGACTAGACGTCAAATCCACACCTTTGAATCAGTTCTTTTAGGCAGGATGCTGGCAGTCAAGCAACTAAATCACCCTTCAATGTCTTCGTATATATCACCAGTTGTTTGTGTGAGGTACATTAGTAAATAACAGAGTCGTGTCTCAGGAAATACACTAGTTCGTTTGAGCAGTTATTATCGGTGCTATCCTCAACAAATTGAGATGTAACATCAGAGAAAACGTTAGTTACTTGCCTTTCATCTGGTTCACGTATTTCACATTATCAATAGGCGGTACAGTGAGAAGGGAAACCCACCATATACAGAGTCGAACAAACTGGTGGTAATCTTGCATGATTAATACTAGGTCTTTATAGACGTAGAGGACGTGTTGTATACTATCATATGAAACACCTACCATGCAGCACTTTGTGTAATTACTTTCTAGGGAAATAGTTCCAAATATCGCATAAATACACTTTTGAACGGCTTGACGGTAAATATTTCTTCTCAGAAAATATTGTTCTAGCTGTGATAATGTGATTTATAAAAATACTTCACTTGTACCTGCTTGATGAGGTGAATCAAAATCACACATACTTTTGTCATTTAATGTGTCAATATGGTTATGGTTACTGCTCTCTGATAACTCACGCTGCTCTTGACTCTTTAATCTTAACAGATGTTTTACAGTGTGAGATGCTGATGGTTGACACTGAAATAGTGTCGACAAAAGTGTGTCGTTTACTATCAAATCACATTTTATTATGCTTAGAGCTGAGACCTGAAGAGGTGATGGTTGTGCCATTGATAATCAGTCGCTTAAATGTCGACTTCATCCACCTCAAATTAATGGTTATCAACATTCTGTTCCCTATCTTGGTCATAACATTATTGTTGACAGTGCACCAACCTGATTGCGGTATTGACAATAAGTTGGATAATATATTCATCAGAAGGGGATAAAATGTAAATATCACACGTACCCACAAAGCCAGGAAAACCAAGAAGACGCCTTCAACCAATCCCTAAGTTTTTCACTTGAAAGCATTTCAGAAACAACGTTAGTCGAAAACGCATAACTTACACAAGTATCACAATGGCATATACTTCCCATACAATAAAAATCTGCATGACATATACGAGTGAAGTCTTTGAAAAAGGAAAACAAGAAATGCTTCTCTTTCAAAATGCACAGATACCTTCAAAATAAATTCTTTTCTCCCTCTTTCAACAGAAAACTTATTGGAAACAGCCTTGATTATTTTGGTTATGAATAATAACACTGTGCAACATACCTTTTTATTATTTTGTGAATTCAGAGAATTTTCAGCTGGGGGTAGTTTACCTGTAGAAGTGAATGCGAGACTTGTATGGTTTCAGAATTGCTCTGAAGCGACTCATAATAAATAAAAGAAGATAAAATGGGAGAACACTTCACGCTTGCCTCGTTCAAGGAGAGTTGTACTAGTCATAGGTGTGCAGTAGCCTTCAGAGATAAATAGTAGGTAGTCTCCAGTCAGTTATGTCTTCTAACAGTGGACTAGCTGATGAATTGTGACATCATGATAGGCGCTATGATGGGATAGTTGATTACAAGGAACAGCACTGCGTTTATTTCATTTTTCATATCTGACTGTAGTATTCATTGCACTACTTATTTCGAAATATACGCTTATTTGCAGTATTACTTAACATATTGCTTCACCTGACGAGATAGTTTGAAGAATGCCTCCTGTGATGGGAACCTCTAAACGTCCACGTACCTTTCCGTGCCTACAAACACTGTCCCAAGTGCTGAATAGCAGAATATGTGTTAGTCTATAATACACAGTCTGTTCGAAGCGTGAAGATGTGAATAACACGTCTGTTTTAGAAACTCGTTTAGTTTTCTCAAGTTTTCTATCACTAATCCCCATTTGGCCATCGCACAATTAAACTCTGTTACACACATCACAACAACGAGAATTTTGTATTTCTAATGAATCATGATTATCCACCGTCTAACAGACTTCACGGAACTAACTCAGATTTCCATAGGCTGGCCATTCCTGAGTTAATCCATTCAAGTTTTCTACTAGACTTAGTGCATTTCGACTCAGTTTTGATAGTGGAGACCTTCTGCAACATCAATTTAGTACTTCAATCATGATAGGGTAGATTGGTGTGCAAATTTCATGCAACTGTAGGCTGGATGATGTGCTCCTTTGATAGGAGACTGGTTCATTATGTGCACATTGTCAAACTGTCATGAAAGTTATGAAATCCTCGGTCAGTTCATATCACAGACTGGCATCAATCAGTACACCATTGACAAGCAAGGTGATAAGTCTATCTCTCTCGGAAGATTTTTGAGGAGCTTCCTTTCCTCGGTAGCCCACGGAATCACGTTGCTTCGAGACATGAAATCCAACCACCGTTATTCACTAATGTTATTGAGTAATCACATTCTCATACTACTTCGCTAAGTACATGGGTAATGGTTTTGCAATAGAATTTCTGAATATGACTCAGTTGACAATCCGTCACTAAAAATCGTATGATCGGTTTATATAGTGGTTGATTCGGTGACGATTAGGCTAAGATGTCAGACGACAAGTCAGTGATTCACTCACCTGTCGTAGTAACTCTCACAAAACCTATATATAAAATCCATTATATTATTGAATTCGTAGAGGATATATCAAGGGTACCAGCTAAGTGTGAGTCACACATCGATGTTGAATGAGACCTAGACGTTGTTTATCAGAGACAAAACTAGAAACATGCAATGAATTCACGCAGAGTATACCATCACAATGAATGGTCTGATGTAGCCATTCAAGAAAACAATAAATCTGGGAGCAGAATGTATTCTCAAGTTTATTATGTCATTACGGTTTAAAATAGAAAACTTACACCGTCTTGATAAACGCCTCATCATAAAAATTATTTGGACCGTAGAAATTGGACTGAAAGTGTGAAATTTGTTTTCATACAATTCAGTGTGAATTAAAGGCGATCGGGGTGAATATATTTGAGCAGAGGCGTTGAATTCGATGAACTTTGATATTGAATAGACAGTCACGAAAACAACTTTTAATGGAGTCAATTGAATTCGAAATATACTATTCACAAAACTATTGGAGGAGAAGTAAATTCTCATAACACTATTGGATAACACAAACCGTATAAGTTAAATATCTCAATTCACTGGGACTCACAACAGCATTCTACGGCATACGGATAGATTCGTCACACATGGGCTAATGAAAAATAGGCAACTATTGAATCGCATCAAGTAGTGAACAGTGTTATTTCATTCAATATGGAAATTCGTCATCTGCGAGAACTAGGGACTTCAAGTTGACAGAATTTTATACGTTTCAACCCGAAAATTTTATTCTGATAACTTGAATCAAAGCATTCAGTCGGCTATTAACTATTAATGGACTAGTGACAGAATAGTAATGTGAAAATGCTGTGATATTGACATTACAATTTCATGATATATCACACGTCGTATTTCAATGTCTTTGAAGGTAACCAACCGATGATAGGAACAAGACACTTTAGGTTCCGTGACTTTAGGTTTCATCATTAAATAACCATTATTCAACTAAGGTTGTGAAAGCGTAGGCCATGTTTTGGGATTTCTAAGCGCTCCAATCTTATCTTACACTGTGTACATCTCCCATCTGATGCTTCACCTTTGTGGTAAATGCGCTATGTCACACTGATCTGAGTCATGAATATGCTCAATTTTGCCAAATGCCTGTTTGTGTGTACATGTGTTTGGAGGAAACAATCACAGCGATTAACAGACGATTCGTGTTCACAAATTCAGCTCAGAATATTTTCATATTACTAGCTAATATGTTTGAAATAGTAGTATGATTCTGAAGATTATTCACAATATCTACTAAGTTTGCGTTGTAATCAGAATCGTCAATACAAACTAACGCATTATTCTCTCAGCTGATGTTAATTGGTATGACGATTCGAGGGACTACATGGGCTGGCTTCTTACAGATTGCTTCGAACATGATGGCATGAAAATAAAACATGAACGATTTTCACTGAATTCTGATTTCTTCAGCCTAGACCTACTTGAGATGGAATGAATAGGACTCAGACAGTAAGTAGTTCGTATTTCATTTACTATCAGTCCACTTTCAGTATCTGTGTAAAACTGCGGGACCGTTGAGGTATCTGATTCTGTAGTATTTATATTAATTAGTATGATTGTGAACAATAAACTGTGTTCAGGACTTCATGCAGTACATAATGCCGTTTCACTGTGTGACATTCATAAAAACAAAGCTGTATGGAATCCGTTAATAATTTTTCATCTTAGTTCAACTTTATACTACCTTCTACTAGTAAGTAGTATGCGCTTAGAGGCATGTTCCTCATCTTATTACTCTGATTTCTATTGGGATTTATTTCACTTAACATACCAACATTCCATTTAGTCTGTAGTGACTATCTTCTTATGGTTTGACGGTACCAATCTGTGTTTATGTGACTCCCACTTTATAATTAATAATAATAATAGAAATAGTAATACTTGCTTTAATGCAAAACAGCACATTTGATACAACTTGAAACCCTCAGCATGTGGTACAATGTTACATCGCAGATTCCCTGCACTTCTATACCATATCTCCTCATTCTTCGCCTACCTGGACAGCCTTCCCAGTCTGCTTCGTACATCGTATGAACATTCCACGTCCCCATTGTTATTCTGGCTTTCATTGAGAGAAGACACATTGGCTGGATGACTGGCTTCCCGATGGCCTGTTTACACCAGCCTGCTGTGTCATTTCGCCTCTCTGATTCCAGCGAAGTATAAGTATGTTTTTATGTTTCTTGTATTTTTAATATTTTTCTTGTGCGTTGAAGCTTCTGGTAACCAGGTAATGCCAGACTATTCATAACTTAATATTTGGAAGGAAATTATTCATCAGTCATTGAGTATTACTCTATAAAGATGCATACACCTACACACACACACGATGTTATGACTGAGATTGATGTGACGCAGCTCGTAAAACATAAAAGCAAAAGATGAAATGGCAGATGTACTCAATGCGAGGCAAGATCGAAGTACTTGGAAATTTCGCAACAAAGACTAAGTCCCCAGAGTCTTAGTAAAATAACAATCATTTAATGTACTCTAAAATGTCTTATTCCTACTTTTCAGCACGATTAGATGCAAGGCGTGGCGTATTGTGAAATTGTAATGGTAACATAACAGTGTTATCACCTTACCTTTCGGTCACTAGTTCATCATTCATTAGTAGTCAGTATGAGGTGTCTAATTCACTGTGATGATCAAATCTTATGATTCAAGTTACTGGAATCAAAATTTTCAGTCTGGATTGTCTAAAGCGCTGCGAATATGTCTAGATATCGAGTTCACATCCTCCTGAATACTCGAGTGTTCACAAATGAGGAATTTCCATAGTGGAGGAAAACGCTGATGGTTTTCGACAGTTGTCCAACTGTCATAGGCTCATTCGTAACAAATATTAAAATCCTGAGATTAGTCCGTGTGAACTGCTGTATTTAAATAACGTGGTTTGTACTTTCCGATGGCTTCATGAGACTTTACTTCCTACTTTTCTAACAATAGCTTTATAAATATCGTATTTTCGAACTGAATCGATTAAAGTTGTTTTTGTGACTATTTCTACAATACCAAAGTTCATCGAAGTCAACGAATTTGCTCAAATACGCTTATCTTTACTTTCCTCTGCATTACACAAATCTAATCTCAAAGTTTTTGCTGAATTTCATTGGCTTATATAACTTTGAAAATGATATTCTTATCAACAGGGAGTAAGCGTTCTATTTCATATCCTAATTCCATTATACATTTCCAAATACACTGTGTTAGATTTTTTCAACTGTTCGAATACATGTCATGCATACATGAAGTTGTTCTTAATGAAGTCATTGCAGCCACTAAATTAAGTAATTAATACAGTCAAATATCACTATAGTCCTCTTAAACAGCGGATGGCCTGTTCAAATCACTGAGCCATCTAATAATCCTTAGAGCATAATCCTTGAAAACCACAGACACTGATGTGGAAGGTAAAGAGACCGATTGAGAGAACACTTCAAACATTTATACTGACACAAATCAACAGATATGCGTTTCTTGAGTTCATTAATCAATTAATTACTACACATAAAATAAATATGATAGCCACTACAAGGCCAGTTGTTAGAATTCTTCTGAATCTTGTGTGATTACTATTCAAATATGAAACCATACCACGCAATCTAGTCAACTCGAATGTGGCAGAACACGTTGAAAATAAGACGCAAATTTAGTTCAGTGTGAGAAGCGCTCTCTGGTTGTTGAAATATCAAATCGCTATTGAATATATTTTGTGAAATTAAAAACTGGTAATGCTGTGAATAAAATACACACGCATTTTTTATGAATGAAACAATTAGTCCCGTTTCTGGTCTTTGATACTTCGGTGTCTTTGAAGATAATTCTCTCATCTTGTACTTTGTCCTAAGGGGTTGGTTATTCTATCAGTATTATTATCATAAAGGTTAATCGACACTTGAATTAAATATCAAAGTAATGTAAAACAAACGAGCTAAAGTTGATAAAATTCAATTATTTGTAATATGCATTTGAAAAACGTGATACTTATGTGTACAAGAATTTTTGGAAATACCAAGTACTAAAAAAACAAAACGTAAAATATCCTTCACTCTGAACGATACTCTTATACATCGTGCCTTATTTTCAGTTTATTTTTACTTACTATTCATAGAGTATGTTCAAGCGAAACAGTAGTCTGAATGAATGGCATTCGATCAAATATTGTCGGATCTGTAAATGTTTCAGCACTGTACTTTTTTTCATGTTTGGCACTTCTCAACCTACACCATGTCTGGCAGACGCGTGATATCTGGCAGGCTATCAATCAAATAACAAATGTACTGCACACTGGTCCTCTGTGTCCTCTTTTGTGGCTGAGAGAGGTAGATACTGGTAGTGGAAGACAAGAAAAGGCCCCACTGTCTTTGATTATGAATGTCTGAGTTCTGTCTCTTATGTTAAGTGGTTATAGTAGGGTAAGTACAATTGAGATAGGACATCGAATAACAGGTAAGAAGGGAAAGACACTCGACCAAGTTATGAAGCTATACGGATTCAGATTGCTTGGAAATATATTGCACATCTCTCGACATCACCTTCCTCAACGAGCAGTGTTAGCTGAAATGGGATTATGTTGGTAAAGAGACAGTAGTCGTCGAGAGAAAACGTGGAGTCAGTCCATGAAACGTCAGACAGTTAATCTCAGCCAAGTAGGAAGGTGAAGACAGCCTGGTTGCTGTCGTCAGAATCCTACGAACCAGTGGCTAGAGAAAGTTTGTGATGTGGCTAGAATTTAGTCTCAGTGGCGCGGATACACTCTTTCTTTGTTATCTCACGTATCCATTAAATACTTTTGTTTTTCTCGCTTTCTCGCTCACATTTCTGATTATTATTATTATTATTCTGTTCAGTCAGTTTGCTCTCTTTTGTCTTCCTTTGTGTGTTACATAGAGTGTGGCAAGGTGAACCGGTGCACTTCTTTGCCTAGTCCTCTCTCTGTTGAAGCCAATCAGTCAGTCGCCACTAGTAAATATTCAGTTAATATGCATTCAGCTTTACGCATATTGCAGTCTTATAATTAAGTACTTGAAGTCAATGTTCTTCTCATATATGTCTCACATGTCTTTTGTGAGTAAACACACATTCCTACTCGTCTCAGCGTATCAGTTTCTACGTCTTTTTTTGGTTTTATTACCCTATTTCTTAACTGAAGTTCTTAGCTTCAATCCTTCATGCTCTGTCATCTTCTAAGCAAGTATGTATGACAGTTACTTGTGTCACCAAAATATGTTGCGCAAATAAATTACACATTCTAGACAGATTACA